ACACACTCGGCCGCGTGAATTGCTTCCTTCGAATAGCTTCCCGGACTATTATCATATACGTCACATCGGTTTCTCTCGCGCGCGCGCGACTTTCTGTCCCGGGTTTGTGAATTCTTTATTAATTTCACGCGCGTGTAAAAAACGTATAACGCGCGCGCGTCAGCGTATTAACGTGAGAGAGACTATTTCGCGACTTGATCCCGGTGGCTATACTTCGAATCTCCAGGAGTAATCAAGGCGGTAAGTGCGACGTGCTTGTATGCAAATGTGGACATAGGTCCAAGCAAGTTGTCGCACTCATGTGAATAGACCATTCTAGAAATCCCTTTCCTATTGTAGTCATTGTAGTCACGCACTCTCTCTCTCTCTCTCTCTCTCTCTCTCTAAAACGGCCGTCCCTAAATTTCGGGAGATATTGTTGGGGCTTCTCTCTTCCTCGAGAGTAGAAGGAGGAAGGGCGACAAGTGCGCGCGCTTGAGCGTTTTGTAATTGCGACGTGAAAAATAACTTAAGAGACAAACTAACGTCCCGACGACGTTTATCAAAGAAGTAATTCCGACAAAGTGTTCACGTGAAAAAAAGTTGGAAATTTTAATTTAATTAAAACATTTGTCTCAAAAGAATACTCGATATGTATATGTGTTGCGATTAATATTCGCACACACACGTTCGATAATTGTTATTTCTTTATTAACAAATATCCGGCGATTGGCATTGTATCGTCATTGGGGACATTTATCTTAATGAGGAAAACGCATTTGAAAGGTTTAAACGCCCGCGCGCGAGCGCGCACGGAAATGAAAGCGTCATTAAACGCATCTTAATAGGTGTATTTCGTGTTATCAGTAATTATGACATCGATTAAAAGCTTGATTTATGCCTCGATGTTGCACATCGTTTGTAAATTAACGGCCGATAATTAATTTACGCGGTTAAAATTTCAAGTTGCATTGTTAAAATTTCTAGTTCATAGCAAGTGAATCGGCAATTTGTAATTAAATTCCTTTGTTAAATATAATTATGCTTGCGATATATATATATATATATGTATAACATATGCGTGCGTAAATATGTGTGTGTGTGTGTGCATTAACACACACGCAAGACTATATTTCACGCGCGCGCGTTTCGGTTGTGTTTCCGGAAAATTATAACTTGAGTTTTCTAGTTTCACTCGCGCGTCTCCTTTTTTTTTTTTTTTTTTTTTTTTCGTCATTTTATGCAAAAACATAAAGAAAGCCATTATGCTTTGTGATGACATTTCGTGATGATAGTATCGCGTACGTGTACAAAATGCGTCTGTCGCGCGCGCGCCGCGCGTACGTATATAAAACTAAAATTTATGGCGCAATATTCATAAAGGTTCGCAGAGAAGCAGAAGCGCTAAACCGCGTTTCACGCTTGGCAAGCGATATTCGCCGGCGTGGCGCGCGCGCGCGTTGCTCATATTTGAGAGAGAGAAATACGCTGACCGACCGTGTGTAGAAGAATCGCGAAATTGCTTAGCGCAGGAGTATCGACTGTACAATTCGACGTGTGTGCTCCCCCTCCCCCTCCCCCTCCCTCACACCCACCCGTAACTCGCACCCGCCTTTCCACGTTGCCGCCGCGTTTGTTATCGCGGCAAGTCAAAGGCAGATTTGGACAGGTCTGTGTTCTCCCCTCCCTCCTCTCCCTCCTCCGCCTTTTCTCTTTCTCCTTTTTCTCTTTTGTTATTCCATGCCGTATATTCACAAGCTGCCGCGCACCAATTCCTCCGCGTGGTGTAACATCGGTCTCGATCGCGCGCTAAAGATGTAATTAATCACGAATGTTTATCGCGTAAGGAACGAGGCATGGCAGGCCTTTCCGGGATAAACCAGCTGGGGCGAAGGGAAACACACCGTATCTGGGATCGGGGAAAACGAGAGCGCGCCACAGAGGAGGAGGCGTGTGAGGAACATTGGCGCGGCACAGGAAGAAGAAGAAGAAGAAGAAGAAGAAGAAGAGGGAAACGTTAGGGAGGAGGAGGGAAAAAACAAAATAAAAGAGGAAAACCGCTGGCAATTTTTCACTAGCTTTTTAAAGCGCGGCTTAGGTACTCGTGGAGCGAGTTTGAATCGATTTTTCCGGAGGGAGCGGAGGCGCGCGGACGGGGGAAGGAGAGAGAAAGAGAGAGGGCCCATTTTTCTGCCGTCTTCTTGTGCCAAGCGGCGCGAACTGTACCTTACCTACATCCAGCTGTTTCGCGCCGCCGAACACGCTTGTCGCTCGCGGAAGGCCGAGTTTAAATTGGAATCCGAAAATTTCGATACCTCGCGCGATTCTCTTCTGGCTTTTTTTTTGGGCAGGGGGGAGGGTTGGGGGGGGGGGATTTCTTCTTATTTTTTTCTTCCTCCGTCCGAGGAGCAAACGCGCTACCGAGCGAAGTTTCGCGATCGCGACGCAGAGGTGGTGCATCTGCATGAGCCAGGAATAAATCAGGACGCGGGAATCTCCGAATGGAGATTTCTTGTGCGCGGCGCGCGCGCCGTGGAAACGGATACGAAGATCTATCTCCTTAGAGCGATTTCACCTTCCGCGATTTTTACGGATCGAGATTCTTAATCCGCTGCGGATATACAGAGAGATGATGAGGCGCCGGATGATAAATCGTTGTTAAAACGTAGTAATAAATACGCGGCGGAGGGAGAAAGGGAGAGAGGAGACACATCGCGTGAAGTAAACGTCGCGATGAAAATGGCAGAATAATATTCGCGGGCGCGATATTATGTCCCTGATTTTTTCGTCACGTGAAATCGACAGGGCGTAGCAACTCTTGCTGCCCCCGCGAAGATCGAATCGATGTTGAGCGCGCGCGCGCGCGCGGTCTTACTGACACTTCGCATGCTCGCAAAATGCTAAAGCTCAATATATACCTTTCCTTTTGTTTTGCTCACGTAATTTCCTTGCGAAATCGAACTTCTCTCTGCCACTGATTACGCCCTATTCTTAGACCATCACGAATCCTTGGCATACGGTATGCGCGCGGTAATCCGCGCCCCTTTCGAAACCGGATTTAAATTCTTATGATCCGCGAAATTGGCGAACTTTCGTTTGCGCGTTCAATCTCTGAATAAAATAATTGTTTTTTTTTTTTTTTCATTGCGAAATACACGCATTAGACATAAAAGAAGTTAATCCACTTCTTTGACACCTTAAAAAGTAAACGCGTTTTATTTATTTGATCTTGAAACGTGTTTGAAAATTTGCAAAAGTTCGTCTTTCGAGTGTCTATTGATTCTGTTGTTTTTTCTTTTTTTTTTTTAATTTAAAAAAAGTTTTATATTATTTTTAACGATTTTTAAAGAGAGTTTTGATGCTGGACGAAGAAAGAGTCCGAGGGGAGGAGTTTTATAGATATTAGAGTTAATTGCTTCTGTATTTCGTAATTTCGCGTTCCATACTCTTATCGCAATTTACAGCGATGCGACGATTAAGAAGCGCCCGGTGTAAGAAAACGCTAATTCCGTTTGCGCCATCAATCAATGGGGCGGCGCGGAGCTTCGGCGCGGAGGATTAATTGTGTTCTCTAAATGCCGTCTGCAGAGATGCGTAAAATCGGCTTCGCCGAGCTGCTCTCGAGCGGCGGTGGTTGGCTGCCGCATAAATGCGCGCGGCTTAGTGTTACCGGCTTACCGATACAATCGATCAAGACTGCGGAGATTGACGCGACTTCACCTCTAACTCGTCGTAGCGACGCCCCGAGACTTCGAAGGGTATCGGTGCCCGCGCGATATTATCGTCATGCATCTATCGACCCGGGGGTTTAACGGAGCGCAAGGTCGCAGGACTTGGTTGAGTGTAGCTGCCGCCGCGCGCAGATCGCAGAGATATGCGTTATTATTGTTCGCGTCGGTGCATCGTGAAACACGTCGGGGAACGATGATGGGAACTCGTAAAACAGCTCAGTTTCGAACGAGGAGACGGGTAGGGGGGAGGGAGGGATATCGTTAAAAGTGCAAATGTGTAAGTGTAAGTAATAAACTCTCGCGCGCGCGCGCGCGCGCGAACCGGTTGATAAAACGAAATATATTCCGGATTTTCCGCTCTCTATTCCACGGGATTCCGAACACGTCCATTTATCGTCGGCACTCGACGTTTTCCAACGCCGCCGGCTTTTCTTCGGCAACGCCGAAGCCGCGCGCGTTCGACTACCACCACCGCCACTCGCGGTTTTTATAAATTGCACTTCCGAGACGAGACATTAAAAGGAGCACGACGGGAGAAACGACGTTCGCGACCTTATTACACGCGCGCGGATCTCCTCCTCGTAAATATCATTATACAATACTTGTGGGCGTATTGTATAGAAAAAGTGTATCACAAACAATTGATTTATACTCAAGAAAGTAAATATCCCAGTGACCGGATCTCATGTCTCAATGGCCTCGCAAACATTTATCAAAGAATTAAGTGAGATGTCACAAAGTAGCAAGTAAACTTTTGTACGTGTAATTATATATTGTTGAAAAACAATATACAATAGAAAAACAATATGGAATAGAATAAAATAGAAGAACAATAATGCAATAAAACAATTCTCTGTGCTTTAAATATTTTAAAATGTTAATGCAAAAAATATATATTGCGGTTTTTTTAATTTAACAAACTTTAGAAGATAACCGCAATTCTTTTTTTTGGCGCCTAATATTTCACAAAACTATATTTTTAATTTTATTATATTACGCAATTATTTATTTGATCTTAGATTTTTATTAACTTTTTTTATACACACCCAAATATTTTGTTGCAATGTTTTCAACAAATGAATGTGACACTTGTCGAGCGACTGGGACATTTACCTTAGATTCTCGAGCCGGGGGAAAAGCGTGAAATTCGTCTGCGCAAGTCGAAAGCGCAATTCGGATTACTTTGCATCTTCGTTAAGCATTGGCGTCGTTTATATATATTATCGCTTGCGTAGAACTCGGCAGCAGAACGGTAAGTCGTCTTTAATGAGTAAGATTAAGAGGACTTACGAGATCTCCCCGAAGGCTGAGAACGCGTCCCTCAAGGCGTGTGTCTCGATCTCCGGACTCAGATCCCCAACAAATATGTGATAGTGTTCTGAAACAAAAAGAAACAAACGACGGAAGGTAATTAGACATCTGTGAGGAAAAATTTGTACAAGAGACGCAATTGTTTCGTTTCGGAGAGAATCGCCGCCGGGGGGAAAAAAAAATGGAATAAAAATTAAAACAAAAAGAAAAACGATCCCATATTATTCGAGCATTATATTAATTGTTGGGAGCAAATTAAAAAGTTCTAACGAGAGGAAGAGGGGGGAGAGGAGGGAGAGAGCACAACGCAAATATGATAAATATTATTTGTTTCGTTATTTCCGGCCCAACCCGGTATAATTCTCTGATTAAACTTCGCCGTCAAATATCCGACTAAACAATGCGGATAAAAAACGCGAGCGCATCTGCACACGCGGAGAGGAGAAATTGTTTCTCTCGCGATGCTGCGTTTTAAAACAACTGTATTTATCTTTATATGCGCAAAATGTGTAAAACAAAAAAACGAGATCAAAAAAATATAACATTCAGAAAATCGGAACGCGGTTATATGACGTTTTAAAATTGATTTACGCGACGCATAACGTGTAAATCTCGCGTTGCGTGCGCGCGCGACATCTCTCTCTCTTTCTCTCTCTTTGCGCAGATACGATGAGCCCGGTTATTCTACAAATATCGCGTCTTCATTAAGTAGTTAATGGAACACGTTTCTTCGCTAACGGCGGCGTTTGTGTTAAAATACCTAGAATAATACAAAGTGAAACATCGCGGGAGTTACTCTTAGCGCGCGCGCGCGCGCGAGAGAGAGAGAGAGCTGGTGCTGCTGCTGCTGCTGCTGCTGCTGCTGCGGTAATCGAAGCTCTTTCATAATACACAAGATGCGACCTCTCTCTAAGATAGACACTTCAAAATAACCCGGTGGGAAATAGTAGGTGTTGAAGCCACGGTTGTAATTTAATCATGCTGTATACGAGAGAGAGAGAGAGAGAGAAAGATAGATACCGGTTAGTATCAGTGATAAATAATTACCGATCGCATCTGGTCTCTCGAACAAACGCTGCAGATCATGGAACACATAAAACAGGCGGATGATTATTAATAAATAATTATTAATCACAGCCAGAGGTTTGGGGGAGAGAAAGAGAGAGAGAAAGAGAGAGAGAAAGAGAGAGAAAGAGAGAGAGAGAGAGAGAGAGAGATCGAATCGTTTGCAGAAACAGAATGAATAAATCTCCCGATTAATTGTAAATGATGACAAGAATTTTATTAAAACTGTGTAGCAGTTACACATCGCCCCGTTATTCATCGGAGAAAATGAGGAATATGCGATGACGGCTGATTACAAAATAATGTTATGTTAAATAATAATATCATGCGAGAGCATTTATCATTTTAGAAATGCTGCATCGAATTTGCCCAAGCTCGCACGTCGTACGACATGACGCTAATATTATTCCACAAGATCGAATTAATAAAATACGAGATATATGTGCGGGTTCGCGTTAAAACGTCCCCGCGCAAACCGAGATCCAATTAAAAAAAAAAAAAAAAAAGAAAAAAAAACGCAGTCCCTTTAACGAAAGAAATGTCTTTTTTTTAATTGAGGCGAGTGTTCCAAGTGCTGCTTACGTTTGTTGAAACAATAAATAAATAAATAAATAAATAAATAAATAAATCGATTAATGTGTAATCAAGTTATTAAATACGTAAAGAGAGAGTTGGGAACTCTGATATTTAAAAATCTTACGCGGAACATCGGGAATTGTTGCGTTTTAATTGCACGTCTAATAACATCATTTCTTCAACAAATGTTCCGGGATCCATTTGTCTGAAAAGGAAGAATAAAACAAAACCGATTTGTTACAAACGTCGATTGCATTCAAAATCTAGTCTCTTTCTTTGATTTATTATCACAGCTATGCCTCTTTTGTTGATCAGCTCAATAAATCGAGAACGCCGCGATTTCTCTTAGTTGCGCATGTCCGCTTGTTTTTCCCTCAGCAAAAAGCTGTCACGTCCCGTCCTCCCCCGCAATCCCACGATCAGACAGACTCAGCTCGGATGAGAGCGCTAAACTAAACGGTATGTGCAAAGTAAGCTTTCGGGGGTGAGGGGGGGGGAGAAAAGGGGATAAATTATCGATTCGCGTACGGTCGCGCGGTCGAGCGCAAGTCGCGGTGTTGCGGTACAGCCTCGGATTGGCTCGATAAAATATGCTTGTCTCTTGTCCGGTCCTCTCATTTCGCACACGTTCACGTTTCTCCTCCTCTTCTTCTTTCTTTCGGTTCGATACGGGTTTCATCCCGCGCTGATTCGCGGGAATGGACCAGAAGAAGAACGGGGTGGCCGAAAATCGAGTTACCGCGCCGAGAGAGGTCTTTCCGCCCGCGCCGGCCAGGGGCATCGGTTACTCCGAATGGAGTATGCCGGAAAGTATAGAAGAGTGAAATAGGTGTGGACTGCCGGAGACGGAGGGTGGTCTGATTACAATCGGTTTGATGGTCTCTACTCGCCAGTCGGAGGTTCCGGTGGGTGCGCGCGGACGCGCGAACACACACACACACACACACAGCGGCCCATTCTCTTGAATTAGTCCGATCCTCATCATCTTCTTTCCTACTACTTGGCTCGTCGCATCGCACGGGATCTTGGCGCTATTAGGATATCAACAGGAAATTGACGGAAGTTTATTCTCAGCGTCTCGTGATTCGCCGCGCGGTTTTACCCGTTGTTCCTTATCACGTTTCTGGCGAAATTCCGTTCGATATCTTCTCTGACATTTCGAAAAGATCGCGCTGTGTGCGTGTGTATTTGGGATTTAGTGTTTTTTTTTTTTTTTTTTTTTTTAATTAAAATCGCATCACTTTTGTGGTTTTCGAGAGCGGACGTAGTACTTGTAATTAAATGTTTCTTTATACACGTTGATTTTAATGAAATGTTTCGTCTTCGCGAAATGTCTTTTGAAATTTTTCAAGATCGCCTTGTGTATTTAGTGTTTTTTTTTTTTTTTAATTAAAATTGTACGTGACCGCGTCACTTTTGTGATTTCGAGAGCGGAGAATATGTTATTCACAACTCAAATTCTCTTTGCATTGATAATTTAACGCGAAATGTTTCGTTTCGACGAAATTTCTCTTTCTCGATGTCTTCTGAAATTTCTAGAAAAAAAAAAAAAGATCGCGCTGCGTTTGTTTGGCGTTTCTTTTAATTAAAACTGCGCGTACGCGACCGTGGCAATTTTCCGGTTATACGAGAATGGGAAAAGATATATTATTTACAAATTTAAAATCCCGTTTCACGTTGATAATTTTTAATAAATATATTGCGATAAGCGCGCGTCCCCGTCTTTGACGATGTCTGATAGGAAAAAGTTTCTCTCCTCTCTCTTTGCCACTGATAAGCATTTAAGACTGGATCTTACGTATACACGAAAAACGTCCTGCTTGACATAATTCCTTTCATCTGTGCTGTGTGTGTACGTTTCTTAGTTGATTAAATTATCCATGCGTTTTTCTTGGTCGCGCTGAAGTTTTCAGCAAGCGCATCGCATTCATACGGTTCAAGAGAGTTAAAAAAAAAAAAAAGAAAGAAAAAAAAAGATTAAAAACCTTTCTCGTGAATCAAGAAGAACTGAATGCCCATAATTTCACCGGAAAAGGATCTTTCAGGAAAGTGGTTTTGGGAACCGGTTTGCTTTCAGTGAAATTTTGCGAAATCCATCGAATTTGATATCATCCGGCAGTAAATAGTTGGCAAGATCCGATTTCGTAAGGAGAGAGACGGTTTAGCGGAATATATGGGCACGCGAATGTGAATGCAAAAGGGGCGCGGCGCATGAAAAAGACGCCGGCATTAAAGGCTCACCGATGATGACGTCACGCGTCATGGCCGCTCGCCGTCTGGCGGCGGTTTAAAACCCGCGGTCTACGGTTTTCAATAAAGTGGGACTAATGGAGTGCCATTTATTATTGCGGAGCTTCCTCATTCTCCCACCTCGCGCTTTCCCCCTTACAACCGACAAAATAATGATTTCATTTGAGCGCGGAATATTAAGCGCATCGTTTTCATCATCGTCAAAGCGAGCGGACGTCGCAAATGACAATTATTGAAGAAAATTAATTATATCAAGATCGCGTGTTAATATTAATCAACGATTGCCGATGTTTCAAGTATTTTTCAAGATGTTTTTTTTTTTCTTAAATATTCGTTCCCCTCTAACTTTACGTACGTGGACATCTTGTTACACAAATGTTTTTTGTTTTATTTCTTTAATGGACGTACGGCTTTTGTCCGATCGTCGGGACAATTACTTCGGGGGACAATGTGCGGGGCGTGTAACAAGCGAGTGTGGCCGTCATTACGACGTTGTCGCGGTCGTAATCGCGGCGAAGCGCCACGTCGGAATTCCCCCCCGATGCGTTATGAAATAAAGGCTAGTAAAAGGACCCTCGTGTGATACGAGCGGGCGCGCGCGCACCATGCGTATATTGTGCATCGTTGCATGTTTATGACGTGTGTATGCGAGTCGTTCGCGGCAAAGTACATTGTTATAGGAGCTAATAATAAAGGAAGGCCGTTTAATTTTGCATGCGGCCGATGTCGCTCGATATTCATTTCCCCGCGCGGGAAGAAGAATTTCTTTAAGAAATCGCGCTTTAATGTATGCGGCAAAATCCGCGATTATACGCGGAACATCATGAATTCGTGATTTTGTTTTCGAAAACCGCGCAATTTTCACTTCATTACATCCGGCCCGAGAGACGGAATTGTAACAAGAATAATACGACAATTGCGACAAGGATGATAAATACCCACAGAGGCTTCGCAAAGTTGGAATTAAATTAAGAAAGTATTGTGTTTTAAACATCTGCGCTCTCGCGCTTACTTAATTTTATTTCCGTCTAGAATTTTATTGGTTTTTTTTTTTTTTTTTTTTATCTGTCACTCTGTACGAATATTATCCAGAAATGCAATCCGTCATGCGACGCCCGATTGAAATTTATTCGCGAAATCGCGTTCCGTCCCCCTTCCTCTCTCGCGCGCGCGCGC